TAATTTCCAGCATCGCCAGTATCAATTTACCGCAGAATGAACTACTGAGCAAAGGAATTGGTTGCCGCGGTAGCAAGTCGTTCAGTGGGCATCAGTGTGAGAGCAGCGTTGGTTGCCACTACAGCCATGGAGTGGGAACATGCACCGAAAATTTCAGTTTCCTAGCTTCATTGGTTGCTTGGTTGGAAGTGGGTGACAGGAGAAGTATGAAAGATTAGTAAAATGAATATGTTCATTTTCAGATATGCTACGCAGCTCTGCTGGCCATATGCTAGGAAAGCGGGTTTTTGCGTAGACGATTACAAATATTCGAAGAATTTATCATTCATGATTGATACATATGCGGAAATTTTGCGAGACTATTTGAACGTATTGATTCCCGAGCATCGACCATTTCATTGCACATATGCATATCTTTACGAGGAGCCTGCTATCCCAAAAACCATTGCTGATTTGATAAAGTAAATAAGTAATTCTGAACAAGTGGCAGCTGGAGGCTCAGGCCCTACTTAATGAATTATCCCGTTGTAAAATAATTGGCCAACGCATGGGCTGCCCGTGCGAAGATGCGTTTTTTGCGTAGTTCCTCGCAGTTTTTGTTGTTTCCGGCACCGGTTTTTCCGGTAAATGCTTCCAGCTGGAAAAAATTAAGACTGGCCGTCAGAACTGTTAGGAAACACCCCCTGAAAATTTCAGCTTTCTAGCTTTCCAGGCTCCTGAGTTAGCAATTTACTTGAAGAAAATTTGGCGGTCCCTTATGTGGTTACCACGCGTACCGGAAGTCTGAGTTTGAGCTCAATGAGACTTAGTTGAACGGGGAATATCCTCTTAAAATTACAGTCCTTTAGCTTTTCAAATTCCCGAGTTATCAACTTATCCAAAAAAATTTGACGGGCCCGTGCGTGGGTATCACGCACACCCGGGGGCTGGGTTTGAGCTTATTAATACCCGCTTGAACGGGGAGCATCTCCTTAAAATTTCAGCTTTCTAGCTTCTCAGGTCGTCGAGTCATGAAGTTACCCGAAAAAGTTTTGGCGGGCTCATACGCGGGTGCTACGCGAGTAATGGCGCCCATTTTTGGGATTGGGACCCATAAGTGCATGCAGATTAAGTTCCCAAAGCCCTGTAGCTTTTGTAGGTCTTGAGGTGAAAATGCATGACAGGCGCACACACAGACAACCTCTCGTCAATATGCATTTTTGCATTGCATAGCTGCAAAAAACGCACAAAAAAAAAGAAAAAAAACCAAAAATTTCCAGAAACTTTGTTGACTTTACGCTTTCTTGCGAGGCGACCGTTTATTTTACTGGAAACGTAAATAATAGTCTTCTATATTTCATGGAGTATTACTCTGTGGGGTGCGTGGTTCTAATAAGCTTCTCTTGCAGGATGGGAATGGAGCAGCTAATTTTACTGCCTCTCTATCCACATTATTCGTGTTTTCGAACGGGTACTATGTTGAACACAGCTGTTGAAGCTCTTGATGAACAGACATTACCACTGGCAAAAGATGGGATAAATGTGATGGATCACCGTGTGAGGCCTATGTCCCACATATCATTTCGCTGTAGTACCATCGATCGATGGAGTACTCATCCTGCTCTCATCAATGTTAGTTGCTCTTTCTGTAGTTCTTATGAAGAAATCCGGACAAAAAATAAATTTTGGATGTCTTCCTTTGCTGTTAGTGCAGTCTCTGTGTTTCGTATTTCTTAGTCTTGAAAAATGTAAAATTTCCCGGCATTTTTCTTTCGCTATCATAGTAGTTGCTATTGGCGATAAGATTAGCCACACTATAAACGGCCGCATTCAAGAACGCCTTTTTTCACATCTTTTATAACTCTTTTAAACTTATACGCTTCACCAGTAATCGATAAAATGGAAGAGGAGAAACGAAATGGCTCTGATTCCGGACCGTGCATAATTAGTCAAAGTTTTCTTCTAAGGCACCAAACAATCATTTTTTATTTGTGACAAATAGGGCCGTTTTATTAGTTAAATTTCTATTCA